ACTAGAACCCCAGAAAACATGTAATTACAGCTCTTTAGCTGGTGAAACCACTGATGCTACATGGAGAGGTTGTGTTCTATCTCCTGTACGAAAATAGTTCCTTTAGAAAAAAGAATAATGAGTGTTTTTCTATAATGCGATTATGGCTTCATTTACTTTCAAATCAAAGTTCTTAATGAATTTTGAGGGTCTTTGCTTATGCACTTTCATAATCTGGTTCCATCCATCCATCCATTGTCTGAACCCGCTTGTCCATGTAGGGTCACGGGGGGACTGGTGCCTGTCTCCAGCGGTCAATGGGCAATCAGGCAGGGTACACCCTGGACAGAGAGCCAGTCCATCACAGGGCAACACAGAGACACGCAGGACAAACAGTCATGCACACACACTCACACCTAAGGACAGTTTAGACAGACCAATCAACCTAACAGTCATGTTTTTGGACTGTGGGAGGAAGCCGGAGTACCCAGAGAACCCACGCATGCACAGGGAGAACATGCTAACTCCATGTAGAAAGATCCCAGGCTGGGAAGCGAACCCAGGACCTTCTTGCTGCAAGGCAACAGCTATAATCTGGTTCCATTCTAAATTAAAGATTCATAGGTAAAGTGGATATTTAAGGTGTGTGTGTGTGTGTGTGTGTGTGTGTGTGTGTGTGTGTGTGTGTGTGTGTGTGTGTGTGTGTGTGTGTGTGTGTGTTGGCTCTGTGATAAACCGGCATCAGTCTGTTCCACTGTGACCCTGATTAGGAAAAATCCGGTTTGATAAAAAAAATCTTTATTTTATACCATTTCAAAATATCCCAGATAGCATCACACAAATAATGTGTAACCACAATTGTTTGTTCTGTTGGTTTGGCTTGAGTTCATTCTGTTTTTGTCCTTTTTGAAATATTTCCTTCACTTCTGCCGAAAACATTAAGCTTCACCTCCGATAAGAAATCTCGTGAAAACTTTTTATTTGCTTTTCTAACTGCATTTTAATTTGTTCATCTGTATTGGAATTATAATCTTAACCAAATATGCCCCTCCAAAATTCCATCAGATTTAAAACCTATAAATATTCGTTATAAATCTCAGTTTGTTACAGCTCCTATAGAAAGCCAAGTGGTGCAAAAGCTATTTCTGAAGTTCCTCTGAAGATTCCTCCAAGCAGGTTTTTTCTATGCATTCAAAGCTTTGGGAATATGACAACGAAGCTGTATTTCAACCTAAAATTATATTTCAAATGTGTTTAATGCTGTGATTTAACAGGCCCTCTTCCATGCTGTTATTATCTAGATGTGTGTACACAAATATCCTCTCTGAGCTCAGGGTGATGGTGTGCAGAGGGCCTCCACACGCAGGAAAGAGGGTGATGCAACAGCCTGCAAGCTCACATTAGCAAACATAAAAAACACTTTTAGTTAATAAAACTATTTTTCCTAATGGTATTTAATTCAAGTCTATGCAGATAAATTATTTTTATTGGACATGTCAGGAGCACATCTGAACGAAGTATTTTTTTAATCACAAGTTTTACTTTTCCCATTTTTATATTTTTAATAATTTTTTTTATTTAAATTTCTTGTTGGTTTTATCTTGAGGCGCTTTATGAAATATTGTTTCTTCTTCTAAAATGCATGTCTCATAATTGTGTTTATCATTTTCAGGCCGCCTTCGGGTCGGGGAACGGGTCCTGACTGTTGTTTGTGCTTAAGGGCCAAATATCAGTTCAGAGTACCCACCCTTTTTGGAGTCCCTGGGACGAGTGCTAGATAGTGCTCCATCAGGGGACTCCATTGTCCTGCTGGGGGACTTCAATGCTCACGTGGGCAATGACAGCTTGACCTGGAGGGGTGTGATTGGGAGGAACGGCCCACCTAATCGGAACTCGAGCGGTGTTTTGTTATTGGACTTCTGTGCAAGCCGCAGTTTGGCCATAACGAACACCATGTTCGAACATAAGGAGGCCCACCGGTACACTTGGTACCAGGGCAGCCTAGGTCACAGGTCGATGATAGATTTTGTAGTCGTATCATCTGACCTGCGGCCGTATGTTTTGGACACCCGAGTGAAGAGAGGGGCGGAGCTGTCAACTGATCACCACCTGGTGGTGAGTTGGATCAGATGGCAAGGGAACATGCCGCGTAGACCTGGCAGACCCAAACGCATAGTGAGGGTCTGCTGGGAACACCTGGCAGAAGAACCTGTCAAGACGGTCTTCAACTCCCACCTCCGGCAGAGCTTTGACCACGTCCCGAGAGCAGTGGGGGACATTGAGTCCGAGTGGGCCTTGTTCCACTCTGCGATTGTCGAGGCGGCTGTTGCTAGCTGTGGTCGTAAGGTGGCCGGTGCCAGTCGTGGTGGCAACCCCCGTACCCGCTGGTGGACACCAGAGGTTCGGGGAGCCGTCAGGCTGAAGAAGGAGGCCTACAGGGCGTGGCTGGTCTGTGGGTCTCTGGAGGCAGCAGACAGGTACCGGATAGCCAAGCGGGGTGCAGCAGTGGCAGTTGCCGAGGCAAAATCTCGGGCGTGGGAGGAGTTTGGTGAGGCCATGGAGAAAGACTATCGATCGGCTCCAAAGAGGTTCTGGCAAACTGTCCGGCGCCTCAGGAGAGGAAGGCAGCAACTCGCTCACATTGTTTACAGTGGGGATGGGGAGCTGCTGACGTCAACTGAGGCTATAGTCGGACGGTGGAAGGAATACTTTGAGGAGCTCCTCAATCCCACCAATGCGCATTCCGAGGAGGAACCAGAGCTGGGAGGCCTGGGGATGGACTGTCCGATCTCGGGGGCAGAAGTTGCTGAGGTAGTCAAACAACTACACAGCGGCGGAGCCCCGGGGGCGGATGAGGTTCGTCCTGGGTATCTCAAGGCTATGGATGTTGTAGGGCTGTCATGGTTGACACGTCTCTACAACATTGCGTGGTCATCGGGGGCAGTTCCTAGGGAGTGGCAGACCGGGGTGGTGGTCCCCATCTTTAAGAAGGGTGACCTGAGGGTGTGTTCCAACTATAGGGGGATCACACTCCTCAGCCTCCCTGGAAAGGTCTACTCCAAGGTACTGGAGAGGAGGGTCCGATCGATAGTTGAATCTCAGATAGAGGAGGAGCAATGTGGTTTTCGTCCTGGCCGTGGAACTGTGGACCAGCTCTATACCCTTGCAAGGGTGATGGAGGGGGCATGGGAGTTTGCCCAACCAATCCACATGTGTTTTGTGGATTTGGAGAAGGCTTATGACCGTGTCCCCAGGGGCACCCTGTGGGGGACGCTCCAGGAGTATGGGGTGGGTGGCTTTCTGTTAAGGGCCATTCAGTCCCTTTACCAGAGGAGTGTGAGTTTGGTCCGCATAGCCGGTAGTAAGTCGGACCTGTTCCCAGTGAGGGTTGGACTCCGCCAGGGCTGCCCTTTGTCACCGGTTCTGTTCATCACTTTTATGGACAGAATTTCTAGATGCAGCCGTGGTGTGGAGTGTGTCGAGTTTGGTGGCAGGAGAATCTCGTCTCTGCTTTTTGCGGATGATGTGGTCCTCCTAGCTTCATCCAGCTCCGACCTTCAGCTCTTGCTGGGTAGGTTCGCGGCCGAGTGTGAAGCGGCTGGGATGAGGATCAGCACCTCCAAATCTGAGACCATGGTTCTCGACCGGGAAAGGGTGGCTTGCCAACTCCGGGTCGGGGGAGTGGTCCTACCTCAAGTTTAAGTATCTCGGGGTCTTGTTCACGAGTGAGGGTAGGAGGGATCGGGAGATCGACAGGCGGATTGGTTCGGCGTCTGCAGTGATGCGGACGCTGAGCCGATCTGTCGTGGGGAAGAGGGAGCTGAGCCAGAAAGCCAGGCTCTCGATTTACCGGTCAATCTACGTCCCAATCCTCACCTATGGTCATGAGCTTTGGGTAATGACCGAAAGAACGAGATCGCGGATACAAGCGGCCGAAATGAGTTTCCTCCGTAGGGTGGCCGGGCTCAGCCTTAGAGATAGGGTGAGGAGCTCGGACATTCGGGAGGGACTCGGAGTAGAACCGCTGCTCCTCTGGATCGAAAGGAGCCAGTTGAGGTGGTTTGGGCATCTGGTCAGGATGCCTCCTGGACGCCTCCCCGGGGAGGTGTTTCGGGCATGTCCTGCCGGCAGAAGGCCCCCGGGGCGACCCAGGACACGTTGGAGAGGTTACATCTCCAATCTGGTCCGGGAACGCCTTGGGGTCCTGCCGGAGGAGCTGGTGGACAAGGCCGGGGAGAGGACGGCCTGGAGCTCCCTAGTTGGGATGCTGCCCCCGCGACCCGGACCCGGATAAGCGGAGGAAGACGACGACGACGATTTTCAGGCTGAGTTGGGGGGTGAAACTGGCAGCTCAGTGTTTACCATCATCCAGGAACATCTCAGCACTTGCTGAGTAGTAAAAGGTATCCGCTGTCAGGATGAAGGTGTATGCAGCTGAATTTCAAGCTGATCCTGTTTCCTCTCCGACCACCTAACTGTTTGTCATGTGTCCCAGAGATGAACGAGTCTGCGCCGGGGGCTCTGATTTAACAAGCCAGCAAACTGATAGTTTGAGAGCAGCTGAATAACATAAACCAACGAGAAACTCCTCAGAGATGTCAAATCCATTAAATGATCCTATGTAACAGATAATTACATCCCTACTCAACCTAATCCTTGAAAATAAAGTGGCATTCCAGCAGGAGGACTTAGAGCTTCAAGCTTGCTTGTCGAATTTGTTTTATTTAAGTCAACAGCAGCTGCTGTTTTATCTGTTAAAAAAAAAGACCTAAAAATGTGGAAATTAGGTTCATTTTTCTCAAATGAAGGTAAAAGCAAAACCCACTTTTTTATTTTTACTCAAATTTACTTAGTTTTTTTTTTACTTCTAAAACTATTTTATGGCAACAAAACTTATTTATTTTATGTGAAATAAGATATTTAATCTCGGGTTTCCTGGAAACAAACCTAATAATGACACTTTTCATGTCTGATCAGTAGGTGGCAGCATATATAAGTTAAATTAATTTTACAGTCAGGCATCATGAAATTTGTTTTAATCACATTGCAATTCCAGCTGCATGCTTCTTAAGAGCAAACTGGATGAAGTACTGTTCGTATGTGCATGTGTTGGTTTTAGCAGAAACAGTTTCCACAGATTTTTCCCCAACAAATCCTTTAAAAAAAACACTAACATAAACAAAGCAAACCCAGCATACGATAAATATTACAAATGATGTTTTAGTAAAACTGTTAAAAATCATCAAGTAAAAATTGTGTTAATTATTCATGTGATTTGTGTCTTTCAGAACAACTTGTTCCCTAAAAAGTGGCGGCACGCGTTGATCAGTGTTGTTTCATGGCCCTCAGCCTCGAAGACGACTTACTTCTTCTTGGGATGCTGTCAAAGAAAAGAAAGTGTCAGATCAACAAATCAGACATGAGGCTACAGCTAAAGGCCTGAAATGGTGCAGCAGAAAAGGGAAGCGACAGAATCACGTGGTCTGTGATAACAGCCAGTCTAAAGCGGATTAGAAATCAGGCAAAATGTATCAGATACCGGAACTTCATTAAAAGTTCACCGACCCACTGGAGGATCTCAGATGATTAACTAACATCCACGTTAGTGATTTCTGACCAACCCTCAGAACAAGAGCCTGGTCCTGGGAGCACAGAGTCATTAGAGACATTTGTCTCCATTTACTTTCCATTTACTACAGACGGGGCAGCAGAGGGGACACGACTACATATTCTGAATGCTGAGGAGACGAGACGCAGGCTGCAGTGCAGGACATGGCTAACGAAGACAGCAAAGGGTTCTTCTTTTATTTGAAATTCCTTCGAAACACTTTGAAATTATCAGGAGGATTCCAGCAGGTTATATTAGCCTAGCTTTGTTCTGTCATCAGATAAAAACATGCAGCGACTCCCATTCATAAGCTTTTAACCTCAGAACAAAACAGCCCTGATTCCATCAATGTCCTCGGTAAGACATCAAGACGAGACAGATGTCTGCACCAGCTATTTTAGGATGAAAAATGACAGATGCCTGGACTTCAAAGTGGCTTCTGTAGTAGTTACAAGGATCCATCTGTTTGTTAAATGAGCAGAAATAATTAGGTTTTGTTTTAATGAGTGAAACCATGTGCAGCAAATGAATCATCTGCTTGTATATTTAAATAAGAGTGTCAGTGAAAACTTTACAAGAAAACACAAGGAAGAAGTAATTATGTTAAAAAGGTTTTATGCAGATGCATTACACAGCACTGCGCCGCCTGCAGCACAGACACCAGGCATGATAAATCTGCTTATGCTGCAGAGAGCGAGGTGGGGGTGTATTTCTGCACACTTAACTTAATCCTGGTCCGCAGCCCCTCCTGGAGCAGCTCTGTGTAAATGTTCCCATCACTTCCTCTGGCCTGTTTGGCTTCATTTTGACACAGGTCTTCCTCGTCAGCGTGCAGCTTAAATAAACTCTGAGCTGTGTGCTTAGAAACAAAAACCCAACAAGTGGCTGCTAAACGGAACTGCTTTACCCTGTGATCAGACCAAACTACAGGCTTTAAACTCCTGTCACTTCAGATAGGGTTCTAACATCATCCACAGCCTTGTAGCTGTTGAGAGCAGAGTCATTAGCTCACATTTTACAGCTTCGAACTGAAAGGAGCAGCAAGACTGGAGAACATTAAGGAGCAATTCACCCCCAGAATCACCTTTTTCTGCTGATAAACTGGATAATTCGGTGTCCATTGATGCTGTAGACATGTGTAGTCATTACTTTGACATTCTAACACATCCCATTTAAAATGTAAGTCAGTGTCAGTGTGGCACCCTCTTCAGGTTAAAACTCTGCACTACAATTTATTTAAATTAGCCCCCGCTATTGGCTAAGATGTACCAAGATGTGTTGATGGTACCACATGGCGTCAGCTGCGGTGCTGCTATTGTTTTAAAAAAGCAGCCGAGTCTCTGCGGCTCTTCTGTAGCAAGTTGGAGTAGCAAGCAAGCATTTACGGCTCGGCACCGATGGCCCCGGCCAACTCATAAGCCATCGGTTCGGCTCAGAGCTGTTCACCACAGACAACACCTCCTTGTGGTGCATTTTTCATAAGGAGTAGCAGAAGCTCAGGAGGTTGAGCGGTTTGTCCAGTAATCGGTGGGATCAATCTTAGCTCCCAGCAGAAAATGTGTGTCCTTGAGCAAGACACTTAACCCGCTTTGCATGCGGATGGTGGTCAAATTCATGCAGACTTTAGTTTTTTTCTGGTAATGAAATTTTTATTTTATTTTAAATAGTAGACATCAGTAAATTTTTGATTCTCAAATTTAAGTTGACCGGCTCTCCTGGTGAGATCGCCCCGGGTGAGTCAGCTGTTCTAGCGGAGACTCTCCCCCCTGCATGTTCATTCATAAACTCTCCAAGACAATGCGGCCGTGGAGGAGGCCTTTTAACCATTTTCAAATCTTCATTTACCTCTGATCCTTTTTTTTTTTCCACCGAAATTACCTCCTTTGAACGGAGTGCTTTTGAACTGGCAATTTCTCCCCCCTCCTCTGTCTGTTAATTTGCCGCCCCCCCAGATACAGTAAGAACTTCATAACGGATTTCTCTGCTCTCTTAGCTGAGATTTTCGCTCGACATCAACGTGTTCTCATTCTTGGAGACTTTAATATTCACATCTGCTGTCTGGAAAAACCATTTGTCACAGATTTTCTTAGCCTAATTGATGCTTTCGGTTTGACCCAGTCTGTAAATGCTCCAACTCATGTACACTCACATACTCTCGACCTTGTGCTCTCATCTGGTCTGTTGTTAAATGGTCTATCTCTTTTAGAAGTCTGCCGGTCTGACCATATGCTTATTTCTTTTGATATTTTTTTTACCTGTTAACAATCATTCACTCTGTCCGTCACGTTCGTTACGGCGCATCATTAACTCTGAAACAGCAGGATCTTTTGTCAGTGCTTTTTCTGTGTCTGATCTGCCTAGTCAGCTAAGCCTGGATGATCAAATCGCTTTTTTTGATGATAAATGTCTTACAGTCTTAAATTCTGTTGCTCCTCTGAAACCTGCTCACTCCAAACATAAATCTGACCCTTGGCTCAACTCTCATACGCGAAGTTTGAGAAAACTCTGTAGACAGGCTGAGCGCAAATGGAAAAAAGACCACTTCCAGATTTCATATCAGATTTTGCAAGACCTCTGGTCCAAATATCAACAAGCAGTTATGCATGCCAGAAGCTATTACTTTTCTAAAATTATTTCTGCAAACCGGTCCAATCAAAAAGTTCTTTACAAAACTATTAATTCGGTTCTCGTCCCTCATGAGTCCAACTGCTCAGTTATTGCACCAAATCTCCCGGATCAGTTTCTAGATTTCTTTTCTGATAAGGTTTCCTCTATCAGGGCTAGCTTATCACTCCCTCTGCACACCCTTCCTGCCTTAACCTTTAATACCGCGCCCTTCCACAGCTTTGAACCTATTTCCCTACCATGCCTGCAATCTTTGCTACTGTCGATGAAACCATCTGGTTCCCAAGATGACATCCTTCCTCCGCGCCTCCTGAAAGAGGTGTTCCCAGCTATAGGTCATTATATCCTACACTTTATCAATACCAGTCTTATTTCTAGTGTTGTACCCCCGTCTTCAAACATGCTGTGGTTCAGCCGCTTCTTAAAAAACCAGGCCTTGACGCCTCGGTTCTTTCCAATTATCGCCCTATTTCCAAGCTTCCATTTCTGGCAAAAATTCTGGAGAAGGTGGTCTATGATCAGCTATCAACTCATCTAGCTGATCATAACATAATGGATGTCTTTCAGTCAGGTTTTCAACCCCTGCACAGCACTGAGTCCTCTCTCCTCCGAGTCTTCAATGACATTTTCATGGCTACGGATTCTGGCTCCTATGCTGTGTTATTACTTCTCGATCTGTCCGCCGCCTTTGACACCATCGACCATGACATCCTTTTATTACACTTAGAGGAGGTTGCTGCAATAAGTGGTCCAGCCCTAACTTGGTTTAGGTCTTATTTGTCTAACAGGTCCCAACGGGTGGTGTTGAACAACATCTCATCTCGCTCTGCTCATCTCTCGTGTGGGGTCCCGCAGGGATCTATTCTGGGCCCTTTGTTGTTTTGTCTTTACCTCCTTCCCCTCAGCTTAATTCTAAAAAACACTGTGTTCAATATCACTTATATGCTAACGACTGTCAGATATACATGTCGGTGAAACCCCAGCAATCCATCCAGCCTCTTCTAGATTGCCTACGTGATGTGAAATGTTGGCTGGCCAGAAATTTTCTGCATCTCAATGATTCCAAGACTGAACTGATCCTGTTTAATCCGGTCAGATCTAGCTCCTTCCAAACCCCCAGATCTTTCATCTGTTTCGCGAAATCTAAAAACCGTTGTGACAAACCTGGGTGTGAAGATGGATTCATCTCTAAGGATGGACGCCCAGGTCAATGCCACTGTAAAATCTTGTTTTTTTCCAACTCTGCCATCTGTACAAATTAAGAGCCGTTTTATCTAGAAAAAATTTGGAATCAGTTGTTCATGCCTTCATCACATCTAGGCTCGACTACTCAAATGCAATTTTGCTGGGTGTCAATAAGTCAACCCTTGCCCGACTTCAACTCGTTCAAAATGCAGCTGCTAGATTCCTAACGCATACTGACAGGTGCCAGCATAGAACACCAGTTCTCAAATCCCTTCATTGGTTGCCTATCACTTTCAGGGTCCAATATAAAATGCTACTTTTTGTTTTCAAATCCCTCCATGGTCTTGCCCCTGTGTACTTATCTGGTCTTCTTTCAATTTATACTCCTGGTCGCACACTCATGTCCTCCAGCCTGTTGCGCCTCGAGGTCCCGAAAGCGTGTTACAAATCATGCGGACAAAGAGCTTTCTCTGTCGCGGGTCCTAAACTGTGGAACGAACTTCCAGTCACAGTTCGACTGGCAGATTTTAAGTCTAGACTAAAGACACACTATTCTACCCTTGCTTTTAATAGTTAGCTGTTAGTTTGGTTTTTACTACTCTTATTTTATCATCCATTGTAAGGTTTTTAATGGTACTTTTTATCAGCTCGTCTTTTTTATTGTTGGTTGCATTTCATAGTACTGTTTTATGTTTTCTATCTCTGTTATTGTGCGACTGTTCAGCACTTTGGTCAGCCGTATGGCTGTGTTTTTAAAGTGCTATATAAATAAAGGTGGTATGGTATGGTATGATACTTACAGCAGCCTTCAACGCCTGGTCCAGGTCTTCAATGATGTCAGCCTCATCCTCCAAGCCAACAGAGAGGCGGATCAGTGTGTCACTGATCCCCAGAACAGCCCTCTCGTTTTCTGACACTGACGCGTGGGTCATAATGGCTCTAAAATATGATCCAAACAACACATTTCACACATGTAAGTCATGTGCAGAGAAACACTCTGAGGGTCTAATAGAGAGAAGAGCCTCAGGAGTCTAACGGACATTTCTTCCTGGTCTCTGCTGCCCTCTTGTGGTCAATTGTGTTTAATTGCATTTCAGGTGGTTTAACAAATGAAAAAATAAAAAAAAGAATTGCGTTTCAATCAGATTTTTTGTGTAAACCTCTATTTGTACTTACGGATGTTCCGCTAAGCTTTCATATCCACCAAGACTCTCTGCTACTGCAAACATCTGAAATGAGACAAGAAACAGAAAATTAAACACAAAACAACAAAAAAGTAGCAAACGGCACAAAGAGAAATCAAATTAATTCCCTTTCTACACACAGGGCCTAATTATAGATGTTCAAACCTCAAAGCACCTCTTCGAAAGGAAAGTATTCTGAGTTTTAAGAAAGTTTTTTATGAATTACTTTTAGGCTGCTAAGAAAGGTGTTGGCGTGCTCGAGTTTCCCCTTAATGTAGAAGGCAATCATCCCAGGACAACCGGTGCATTGTCTCTTCATCACTTCGTACTGTGGGTGAGAGGGCAGACCTGCAGCGAGAGGAAGAACACAACAAACCAGTCACTTAATCTAATATTAGGTTGCCCTTATGGAGAGGTCAAACACTTTGCAGGTCTACTAGCTGAGTAGTCTCCTAGCAACACTGAAACACATTACATGAAGAGTTTTCATCCAAGTAAACTCGTTAACACAACCATGAAAGAGGATTTAAGTCACCACGCATATTATTATACTCCTTTGTTCACAGAGGTTTATTTATTGAGCCCAGATGAAGACGGTGGTGATGTAGTCAAATTTCCTCCACTTAAACGCACCTGATAGTGTATTTTAAAAGTCTAAATTCCATCAGACTTTAAAGATTAATGACGATTGTCTCCAAACGTGTGATGAAGATAAAACATGTGTACAGACAAACCCAGAACTGGAAATGTACCCAATTCTATTTGAGTTTTAAGGCCTAATTAATAATGAAAAAATGTGAAATTAGTATTTTTTATTTGCTTGTTAACCAGGTTCCTCTTGTTCTCTTTAAAACACAATTTAAAACAATATAAGAGGTAACTCCAAATATCTCCATCACAACTCGCTTTAGTTCCATTTAAACTGAATTAAGTGTGGCAGCAAAGTCATGCTGACGACAAGCACATTTATGGAGTCATACAATCATAAAGGAATGTGCTAAAAGATAACGGCAAGCCAAAACTTGTGAATAACTATCAAAAGTACAGAGATAAAACTAAATGCAGGAAGAGTTTGTCCACAGTTACTTTGTGTCCTGGCACGAACATCAGAGTAAACTGTAGCCAGTGCTGATGAGAATATGACACACGCAAGTGGAAATTTTTGGTTCTGCAGCGATGCAACTCTGTGCTTCATTGCCCAACTCAGCCCACAGGAAGAATGAGTGGCATGTCTCAACAAAATCTGCACTCACCTGGGTAAATGACACGCTCCACTCTGGTATTGGCCTCTAGAAACCTAGCAGCAGCCAGAGCGTTTTTAAAGTGCTGCTCCATTCGCAAATGCAGCGTTTTCAGCCCGCGGTTACACAGGTAGCAGTCAAAGGGAGATGGTACGCCTCCTAAAGCTGCAGCAGGACAAGGTCACATCAAAACAAAACCACATAGAGGTTATAAACAAAGCCTCCCAGAATCCAGAACAATCCGACTCCAATGAAAAGGTGTATTTTGGTTTAGAGCTTTGGCCTCAGGAGTGTGTGCTGGTTGTTTACTGGGTGAATGTAGGACAGATCAGACCCACCACTTCACCAAAAACAGGATTACTCTGGAATTACTCACCATTCTGAAGGAACTTTAGTCGCTCGTGCAGATCCTCTCGGTTTATTGAAACCAGACCCATCACCACGTCACTGTGACCTGCCAAAATGAAAAAGCAATTCAGGAACAGCACAAACTCGTTTTTGAATAAAATCCTGTTCCTTTGGGAGTTAAAATAACCAGAATCGTGTGCTTTAGCAGTGTCTAACCTAACGTTTCAAATATGTTTTTCACACGTTGGCCAGTCAGTCAAAATATATAAATATGTTGTAATCAGAGTGCACTGCTGTTATCAGAATCGTGTTTTATTGCCAAGTGAGAGTCTCACATTACTAGGAATTTGCTTTGGTGGAACGGTGCAAAGACTCAAGTGAAACAAATGAAAAATAGACATTTGAGCAGAAAGTTATCAGTAATAACAAAATCTATTTTTATTTAAGTTTCACATCCTTTAATAGCTTCTATAGATGACCCTAAACAAGAACTGATCTAACATTCTTCCAATGAAAAAAAAAACAAAGTTGCATTTGTATATATTAGTATTTTCTGCCTTTTGACAAAACTTGTTTTATTAATTAATCAAAAATGGATACTCCATTGATAAAAGTTCAAGTCTGTTTTTTTTAAAAGAAAAACAAAAGAATATCACACGTTTATAAATGTGTGCCCTTTACTACATGTATTAGATCTGGGTTGCTAGTTTGGCAAGATCATTTGACTTTTATGTACTTTTTAATTTCCTTTGCCAGTTAAAAACTAAAACAAATGCTCCTAATGTCTGGGGTTACACATTATTGGTTGTAATTTTAGATTTTTATTGGTATTATAAGTTGAGCAACCTTTTTTTTACTTTTAATTCAACCCATGTTTGTATCAAGTCTGTGTGAAAAACAGTGTGTGTGTGTAAAACCTACCGTTCATGTATTTGGTGGCTGAATACATGCAGACGTCTGCACCTAAGGCCAAGGGGCGCTGACAGTGCAAGACAAACACATAAGTTAATCATTCAGCAAGTTCCTCTCAAGTGAACCGGATTTTCATTAAAGGAAACGATTAAACTGTAGCTTCAGAGTCAACAGAGTGACAGTCCCACCTGGAAATACGCAGACATGAATGTGTTGTCTACCACCACTACTATGTCTTTGTTGTGCTCGTGCACCAACTCAGAACAGGCCCTGATGTCCACAACCTTCATCATAGGGTTGGTTGGACACTCCATCCACACCAGCTACACATGAGACAGAAGAAGAAGTCCTGTCACAACAGGAGTCAATCGTTTGACAAGCTGGTAAAAACAGATCGTTACACAAAGCGATGACTCACACAAAGACTACTCTGACTTAGCAGAAAAGACAACCAATGAAAGAGCGTTTAACAAAAGCAGAGAATGAGTAACACAAAGCAAACAACCAACACCGATTTATTTCATATTCTTATCTTTCCTTGACCTACTTTGGTGTTGGGCTTCAGAGCGGACTTGAGCAGCTCCAGTTTAGTGAAGTCAGCAAAAGTCACGTCCAGACCGATTTCAGCTGCAATTCTTTTAAAGTAGCGATTTGTGCCTTTAAAAAGGGGGCGTGAGGCTCAGTTAAACAGAAAGTGCAAGTATTAAAACAGATGTGGGAGCAGGGAGGCTCACCTCCGTACACATCATCCATGCAGACGATCCCATCGCCCCCTTTCAGCATGTGAGTGATGGTCACTGTGGCGGCCAGTCCTGAGGCGAAAGCAAGAGCTGCAGGGATTTTCAACAAAAAACTTGTTAAAATGAAAGAACGTGGTTTGCGTCATCAGTGAGAAGAAAACCTATTTGTGTTCAAATGCTGAATCATATTGTTTACTTACAATACTTTGCTCCGTCCAGCGCTGCCACAGCCTTCTCCAGACAGTTTCTGGTGGGGTTTCCACTCCGGCTGTACTCAAAGCCCTGAAGAAATGCAACATTTTAATAAATATTTTCTTCATCAAAGTGAATTTCTATTTGGGTTTTCTGAATACAAAAGAAACAAATGAATTGCTATGAATGCTAAACATCACATTTTAGAAGAATACTGTTGAAAATAACCTATGTTCACCTCTCCAATAATGTTAAACTCCCATAGTAATCACTCACTGGGGAAATTCATCTCCACATTTGACCCATCTCCGTGGGGAACGGTGAGCTGTAGCTGTGGCTGCGCTCGGGAACTATTTGGTGGATTAACCCCCAATCCAACTCCTTAAAGCTGAGTGTCAAGCAGGGAGGCATTGGGTGTGACCCGACCGGTTTTGAACCCAGTTCTCCCATTCCCAGAGCAGACACTACCACTGAGCTGGTTGATGTACGAAGTAAGTTATTGCCTGAAGATAATGATAGGAACACATGATTTGTAGTTTAAAGAATTGCAAAAGATATTTAGGGTGAAATATAATCTTGTATCGTCTACTGGTTTTGTGTGGAGTTTAGATAAGCGAGTGAGAAAAGCCACCTGGAATACTGGCTTATCTGTAAAATAAGAAAATCTACACATCTCCAGCTATAGGGCCTTGTTTGACTTGGACAAATAATTTACCAGTTCAGTGAAAAGAGACTGTAACCATAGGAAATGAATTTAAAAAAATCAACGATGTTTGAAAGATGATAAAAAAAATTCTAATTTGGCAGAATTACAGCTGTGGGCTGAATCTGTAGGCGGCCTCAGTCTTACATTTGCTGAAGAAAAACTGGAGGAAATCCAGCAATCTTGACTTCATCACTGAGATGAATTGAAGTGAAAAGAAACAGAAAACTTTCTAATAGTACTGGTGTTATAGTTTTGGTAATAGGGTGAATTCCCTTGTAAAAACAGGAAGTATAATCAAACAGCTCACTAGTCTGATTTGCATCTTTTTAGGGGGACCGGAGGATATGTTTAAAATATTTAAAAAAAACCTGAATGATGATAACGTTTTGGATGAGGTAACATTACAGCTTATTTGATAGGATGTATTTAACAGGCACGTCTTGTCACCCCCCAGCCATAAATAACCGACACCGATCAGGCTACTTACGGCATGGTTTCCCGGTGAGTGCTGCTTGAAGGTAGTAGAGAGGGATATCAGCGGTACTACGGCCATTGAGCTCCACTGTTCCGGCTCCTGACCGACGTGTATAGCATCTGTAGCGAAAGATTTGAAAGCGGTGCGGAAGCCTGTGAAGACACCGGTCGGCTCATCTTGTTTGTTCGTTTGCTCCATCGCAGCGCGCGCCTCCAAAGTAGCTGAACCACAGTGTTCCCAGGGTGAGTCTGCATTACCGCTACCGGTAAAGGGAAATACATTTAATAGGGCCGAGCGGAAAGCTCGTGCTCCTGAGCCAATCAGCACGCAGCGCGGAGCAACCAGCACGCTGATTGGCTGTTGTAGAGGGGGCGTCCGGCCCACGTTATTTCCAAATTCATGCTGCCGCTCTGATGCAACTATTGTTCTTGTTTGAGTCAGAGAGGTGTTCATCTAATAATGTCTCCTGACATTAAATAATGGGTTCGCTGTGTTCACATTACTTAATTTACCAAGAAAATTATATTTTAAATGCGGATTACGTTTTAAAAAAATCTACAAAGTAAAACAATAAATAAACAAATAAAAACAAAAACAAGTTGAGAAAGATTTTTAATATTAGGTATGTCTTAGTCTCAGCAGCTGCTGTGACTTAAAATAAATTGTATGCATTGTTGAAAAAGTGAAGTCAGGTTGTAGTCCCATTCTTAAAAGGCAGGGGGAGGAAGAACTACAACTAATACGCGAGCAGGAGAGCTTGGGTAATTTTTCAAGACTACTGTACTTTTTCTTGTACTTCCATTTGAATTAAATCGCAAATGTAAGAAATTTTCTGCTTCATCATTTCAAATATTTATCAGTAAAAAAATAATTTTTTACAACGTCTTCTTTTCATAATTGTTGAGTGAAATTACAAACTGGTGTATTTGATAGCATTATGTTGTTATTAGCCTACTAAATGATGATGAATTTTTTACAAAATGTTACTTTCAGAAGATTAAATTTTTTGTATATGTTGAACAAACTGAACAAACACTCGGCAGTTTACCGAGTTGGTTGTTCATAATCAAAGTTAGAAAATGCAAAGCTAATAAATATTGTTGTATTATTGTCAGTTCATTCTGAATCGCATAGACATTTCTTAAAATGTTCATTTGGAGTTTCCAATTTAAAAAAGGCCAGGACATAACCACACAAAGGCATTGTCCACAATAACCAGTTTTAGTCCCACTGTTATCAAATTCCAACTGAAAAACTTTATTCATTTGATTGTCTATAACCCCATCCCTCCATCAGTACCAGAAGGGTTCATTGTCATATTTGTAAGAAGTCACAACGTTAGGAACTTGCTGCAGTAACCTGTCTGCACACATAAATGGGCCCATATGGAACCTATATGGGCAAGCCATAGGTCCCACCTGGGTTTGTCTAGAGCAGGGGTTCCCAATTTCTTTCTTTCTTTCTTTCTTTCTTTCTTTCTTTCTTTCTTTCTTTCTTTCTTTCTTTCTTTCTTTCTTTCTTTCTTTCTTTCTTTCTTTCTTTCTTTCTTTCTTTCTTTCTTTCTTTCTTTATTTATTTATTTATTTATTTATTTATTTATTTATTTATTTATTTTGAGGACCCCTTTGCTCATGTCCAAGACAAGCCAGGACCCCCAACCCCAACTCCTACATGAGTACACACATTAAATGTGATAATTTGTCATCTTTATACAGGCACACAGAGTTATAAATTATATATGGAGTTCTGGTTGTACTGTAGGGTGTGTTATTGGGAGTTTATGTAATTTTTACAAATAAATTCTTGCTAATCTCACTCTCAGCAAAGACAAAATTGTGGGGACCCCCGGCCCCCAATTTGGGAACCCCTGGTCTAGAGAGATCTTTGCCCACATAAAACATTTAAAAACTCACCTTTTCATCCAGGCATTCCCCTGCTAAATATTCTGAAAGATGGCTTTGTCTTTGCTCATACCTTGACTTTGTTTTTACTCCTGATTTTGTTTACTATTTTGTCACTGCTATTGTTTTTTATGATCTGTTTTTATCAGTTTGAGGTATTTGACCTGATTTTACTCATGTTGTACACTTTGTGATTCATATCTGCGAAAGGCGCTTTATAAATAAGCTTTTACTTACTTACTTACTTACATAGATTTTAATGGGCCCGACATGGGTATTCAGAGGGTTTAGAATGTTTGTGGGCAAACCCCTGTGGGGCCACTGTGGAAACTGCGGACAAACCCTGGTGGGACCCATTGGGCTTGCCCATACGTGCTCCATATGGGGCCCACATATGTGTGCTTCAAAAAAATAATAGATATGCAAAAAAATTGAAATGAGCACAACTAAATAATAATATAGAGAAGCAATGATTAGAGAAACGGGTGGCTAATTTAAGTGTATTGATCAGAGTTGAACAGTCAGGTGCAAACACAACCCAACACAGAGTCAGGTGACTGGAACGTGACTGGAGTGGGCAGTCAACCCCATCCCACCATGTGCAGCTACATAAAGAAACATTTTTAAAATCACTGATAGAGAGAAAAGGGATTTATTTCAATGTGTTCCAACTTCAATAACATGCCATTTACAATAAAACTGACTGCTGAGGGGGAAATTTCAGAGAGTTGCCTGTTAAGAGAGACCATGTTTGTGTGTTCTTCAAATGCTTCAAGAACAGAGCGGCATCTACAGTATTTCAATTTAGGAATGCATTTTACAGGCGCATAATGCTTTTTAGGATTTAGGGGGTGCTGTTAAAATTAAGAGAGCCCTCAGTTCAAGACAAAACAAATGATCCCCGAAATACCACTGATGCATGCACTCAAATATGATCAATCAATATTTTTTGGCACACAACATTTTTACCTCCTCCTTGAACTGTCACCTTATCGTGGTGGAGGAGTTTGAGTGCCCTAATGATCTAGGAGCTCTGTTGTCTGGGGCACATTGTGCCCCTGGTAGGGTCTCCCATGACAAATTGGTCTTAGGTGAAGGGTGAGATAAAGTACGGTTCAGAGGATCTTTCATGGATGTACAATCAAAGAGTAAGAGTACCCGGCCCGGAGGGTTACCGGGGTCCCACCCTGGAGCCAGGCCTGGGGTTGGGGCCCGTGAGCAAGCGCCTGGTTCCCGGGCTTTCGCCCATGGGGCCCGGCCAGGCCCAGCCCGAACCGGATACATGGGCTCATTCAACTGTGGACCCACCACCCGCAGGAGGAACATGAAGGGTCCGGTGCAGTGTGGATGGGGTTGCAGACCGAGGTGGGAGCCTTGGCGGTCTGATCCCCGGACAAGGAAACTGGTTTTTGGGACATGGAACGTCACCTCGCTGGTGGGGAAGGAGCAGGAGCTTGTGGCAGAGATTGAGCGGTACCGGCTAGATATAGTCGGACTCACCTCGATGCATACCATTGGCTCTGGAACCCAAGTCCTTGAGAGGGGTTGGACACTCTCCTTTGCTGGAGTTGCTCCGGATGAGAGGCGGAGGGCGGGGGTTGGCTTTTTGTTAGCCCCAAGACTCTCTGCCTGCGTGTTGGGGTTTACCCCGGGGGACCAGAGGGTAGCTTTCCTGCACCTTCGGGTCGGGGAACGGGTCCTTACTGTTGTTTGTGCTTATGGACCAAATATCAGTTCAGAGAACCCACCCTTTTTGGAGTCCCTGGGATGAGTGCTAGATAGTGCTCCATCAGGGGACTCCATTGTCCTGCTGGGGGACTTCAATGTTCACGTGGGCAATGACAGCATGACCTGAAGGAGTGTGACTGGGAGGAACGGCCCACCTGATGTGAACTCGAGTGGTGTTTCGTTATTGGACTTCTGTGCAAGCCGCAGTTTGGCCATAAAGAACACCATATTCGAACATAAGGATGCCCATCAGTACACTTGGTACCAGGGCAGCCTAGGTCGCAGCTCAATGATAGACTTTGTAGTTGTATCATCTGACCTGCGGCCATATGTTTTGGACACCCGAGTGAAGAGATGAGCGGAGCTGTCAAATGACCACCACCTGGTGGTGAGTTGGATCAGATGGCAGGGGAAGATGCCGCGTAGATCTGGCAGACCCAAACGCATAGTGAGGGTCTGCTGGGAACGCCTGGCAGAAGAGCCAGTCAAGACGGTCTTCAACTCCCACCTCCAGCAGAGCTTTGACCGCGTCCCGAGAGTAGTGGGGGACATTGACTCCGAGTGGGCCTTGTTCCACTCTGCGATTGTTGAGGCGGCTGTTACTAGCTGTGGTCGCAAGGTGGCCGGTGCCAGTCGTGGTAGCAACCCCCGTACCCGCTGGTGGACACCAGAGGTTCGGGGAGCCGTCAGGCTGAAGAAGGAGGCCTACAGGGCGTGGCTGGTCTGTGGGTCTCCGGAGGCAGCAGAAAGGTACCGGATAGCCAAGCGGGGTGCAACAGTGGCAGTTGCCGAGACAAAATCTTGGGCGTGGGAGGAGTTTGGAGAGGCCATGGAGAAAGACTATCGATTGGCTCCAAAGAGGTTCTGGCAAACTGTCCAGTGCCTCAGGAGAGGAAGGCAGCAACTCGCACACACTGTTTACAGTGGGGAGCTGCTGACGTCAACTGGGGCTATAGTTGGACGGTGGGAGGAATACTTTGACTCCGCCAGGGCTGCCCTTTGTCACCGGTTCTGTTCATTACCTTTATGGACAGAATTTCTAGGTGCAGCCGTGGTGTGGAGTGTGTCGAGTTTGTTGGCAGGACAATCTCGTCTCTGCTTTTTGCGGATGATGTGGTCATCCTAGCTTCATCCAGCTCTGACCTTCAGCTCTTGCTGGGTAGGTTCGTGGCCGAGTGTGAAGCGGCTGGGATGAGGATCAGCACCTCCAAATCTGAGACCATGGTTCTCGACTGGAAAAGGGTGGCTTGCCAACCCCGGGTCGGGGGAGAGGTCCTACCTCAAGTGGAGGAGTTTAAGTATCTCGGGGTCTTGTTGACGAGTGAGGGTAGGAGGGATCGGGAGATCGACAGGGAGATTGGTTCGGCGTCTGCAGTGATGCGAACGCTGAGCCGATCTGTCGTGGTGAAGAGGGAGCTGAGCCAGAGAGCCAGGCTCTCGATTTACCGGTCGATCTACGTCCCAATCCTCACCTATGGTCATGAACTTTGGGTAATGACCGAAAGAATGAGATCGCGGATACAAGCGGCCGAAATGAGTTTCCTCCATATGGTGGCTGGGCTCAGCCTTAGTGATAGGGTGAGGAGCTTGAACATTCGGGAGGGACTCGGAGTAGAACGGCTGCTCCTCCGGATCGAAAGGAGTCATTTGAGGTGGTTTGGGCATCTGGTCAATATGCCTCCTGGACGCCTCCCTGGGGAGGTGTTATGGGCATGTCCTGCCGGCAGATGGCCCCCCGGTCGACCCAGGACACGTTGGAGATGTTACATCTCCAATCCGGTCCGGGAACGCCTTGGGGTCCTGCCGGAGGAGCTGGTGGAGGTGGCCGGAGAGAGGACGGCCTGGAGCTCCCCAGTTGGGATGCTGTCCCCGCAACCCAGACCCAGATAAGAGGAGGAAGACGACGATGACCACAACATTTTTACAAGAAAACAACAATGCATTTGAAAAGGAAGCGCACACACACACACACACACCTGCCATTTTTTACAGATTGATGAAGGTGACAGTTTGGGGAAACAGTGATTAGTTTCAATGAAAACAGACAAGCTAGTAAATAAAGCCACAATCTGTTTCTTAAAATAATTCTCAAAAACAGTTTTTAAATTTAATTTACGTTGCAAAATGTTCAAGGTTCACTGTGTTTCTGTTATTTCATATAAATATCCAAACAACCCCCAAATCAGGAAATTTTAATGATTTACATTTTTTGCAATAAAATTAAATAAAATAAACACACTAACACACTTTTAAAATTGCTGAACTATCCCTTTAAGTTGATGATTGTCTCGTAAAGTATCGCGACACTACGAGGCGGAAGCCATCCATAGAATCTAGTGAACTCGAGAGACGCTTTACAGCAGCAACGGCAGTTTAGGACGGCGGGAGGGGTTCATAGTTTGTTTTGACATTAAACCGGTAAACAGAAGCTGCTACTTTTCCGCCCCCGGAAAAACTGACGTTTTACTTAGAGACATTTTTTCTTTTAAATAAATGTTGTGTAATTTTCAGCCCTTGCGTAAAGACCTCCAGCCGGCGAATTGCATCAGTTCGCCCGGAGGGTCATTGCCAGCGACGACACCCTCGTTGCCATCAGCGTCAACCGTGTAGAAAATGACCGGAGAGAAGATCCGCTCCCTTCGGAAGGACCATAGGCCGAGCAAGGACGAGGACTTACTAGAGCCGGACGAAGAAGCTGCCACTGGGACATTTACCGTCGCCAAGGCGAACAGCAAGAGCAGAGCAAGTAAAATCTTCAGCAATCACAAGTTGGTCAAGTCGCCATCCACACAGCAGCATCAACAACAACAGCAACAGAACCAACAATCGCAGATAAATGCTAACACTAACACGCTGTCATCATCGGATGTTATTGATGACAACAACAAAAACCCAATTATCCGAACCGGGCTGGACTTCCCGGTGCATGAATGTGTGTTTAAAGGAGATGTCCGACGCCTGTCTTCGCTCATACGGACACAGAATATCGCCCAGAAAGACATCCATGGTGAGTTCAGAATCTATTTACCACATCAGTCGCAAAGGTGGTATACATCAAATCACCAGGATCTACCAATTTCAAGGTCCATTGAGGCTTAGGTTTAGCTAATCAGTCTTCATCGGCACTGGAAAAAGGCGAGGCTCCACCCTAACAGGCCTAGACAACTGATGTCTGAACTAGAAGTCATTTTACTTTGCCCCAAATCCAGTTCTTTCAAATCAAATTGACATGGGAACAAAGTGAAAGCAGTAGCCCATCAGCCCTGAGCAATGAAATGAAGAAGTCATCTGTCACAGAATCCCTCAGAGAGAGGGTATCTAAAAACACTGGAGGATAAGATGAGAAGGCGTGCTGGATGAGATTCTGGGAAATCCTAAACTGATGTCAGCCCCACTGTAGAAGGGCAAAGTCTTCTCAGATAAAACCCCCATTTCCAAATAAACCGTCTCCTGGACTGACTCATTCAAAAGTTGGTCTGTACTTGCTCTGGTGTCACAGGAATGTTCTGTTTTCAAAGCCCTTGCATGGTGTAATTCAGCAGTGTGTCAGATAAGGTGGTGATGTAGCGGAAAATGAACCTATTGTCCCATCAGCTGTTTAAGGTTGTTTACTTTTGAAATCTTAATCCCTTATTAAGTCAGCTTCTAACGAAACAGAAGCATAGTTAGATTGTCAAATGTGACAATGAAATGGAGATATAATTCAGGAATGCTGTTTAATTACATGTCCACATATCAAATTTGCAATTTTTGGATACCAAAACACAAATGAGGTCAAGTTTATTTATATAGCACATATACAACAGTAATGACTGCACATGTTAAACAGTTAAAAACAAGAATATGCAAAACTATGTAACAAGGATAAAAATAAGGAGTTAAGAATTACACATATCTGAAATACATTAAGAGCTCATTATCATGGATAACAATAAATTAAATCATTCTGCATTACACACTCTGTTAAAGGCAAAACTAACTATTTACTCCACTAGTACCCACATATAATTTGCTGGTTTACAACGAGTATTACTACTGTTGTAGTTTCAGCATGTTTTTACCTTCACTGGTACATCACACACAAATGTTAAAGGCAGTTTGGTTAGAATTGACCTCCTCAGGGGTCCTTGAACTGTAGGGAGCCCAGCTGCGAAGGCATTAGTGTGGAAACCTGTCCGCCTCTCTTTTCCAGCAGAGCTGACTGGGCAGTTTGATTTCCCCTGAAAGCATCCTCCAGTGATTATGAGATACATTTTATAACCTGGGATAATCCTGAGCCTCTCGGCACCTGAAAGAGTCTTTTTTTTTTTTTTGGCTCATCTCTAGTGTCAGACTTACCATATAGTCTGTTTACAGGAAGTGTCACTGTTAAATTTAGAGAAGTTTTTGTTACGGTTGGTTTAAAAGACAGTGATGTGGGTTCTCATGCCATTATCACCATATAATTTAACATTTAGCGGATTTAAATTCATGCTAAATGTGAACATATTTAGAAAAAAGGTGATTTTCTTTGCTGTATCAAAGACTATAATTAAAGAGCAAGTCACCCCCAAATCAACTTATTTTTTGCTGATAAACTATATAAATGAGTGTCTAATCATGCTGTAGACACGTGTAGTCAATAATTTGGCATTTTACTGCATCTTAGTTAAAATTGAAATATTCTGCCTAAATCTGTCAGTGTTGCGCCGTCGTCAGGTAAAAACTGCCATTGCTATTGGCTAAGAGGTACACTATGACGTTAGCTGGTACATTATGATGTCACGATGTCGTTGTGAGCCTGTGTGCGTGTATTTGTTAGCGGCTCCGCCCTTTCGGTCTGCCAGGCAACAGCATTTGTTGCATTTTTCAAACAGGAAGTGGGAGTGGAGTAAGACTCTGGTTGGGGGTGACTTGCTCTCTAAGTCTTCTTTCTTTTTCAGGAAACACACCGTTACATCTCGCTGTCATGATGGGACACAAAGGTGAGTGGAACATAAACAGTCACTCACATGTGCTTCTGTCTGTGTTAATTTGTAAACAAAGTCTATTGGAATGTATGATTCTTAGTTTTGAGTTTTATGTCGATTTTCATTTGTATGAAACATGTTGCATGCATTTGTCTGTCTATACACCCCCCAGATATGTCACAGATCTCGGCACAAATTCCAAAAGGAAAGATGTTCATGCATGAATACACGAGTTTAACCAGAAACGTCATTCAGTTTTTTCCACTGTTACTGTAAGCTTTTTTTTTGTTTGTTAATGAACTCAAAACATAGATAGGAAAATACCGACCCTGCAAAAGTAGGATCCTCTCTGCAGCCAAATCTTAAATAGATATGAAACAGCTGGCTTTGTGATGGATATCTGAAGCTGGCCAATTAAGTAGTAATTAAATATTTTAATATCTGCTAATATTTGTGTTTTACCAGTTGAAACCAGCATGAAAAAGTGCTTCACGACAACAACAACTCAGAATTTTCCCAGAAGATATCAGAAAAAGCTAAAAAAAAAAAGTTTGTATTTTTTTATTTTAAAATTAACATCAGACAGTGTTGAATATGTCATGACTTATTAAACTTTTGCAGACATCTTTGAAGTGATTTTGTTTTTAGATGAATTGCACTGGAGTCAAATCATAAAACATTAAGACCGTGTCCATTTGTGATTCTGTGCCTGCTTGCATTTATTTTCTCACGAAGACTTCAGAATGTGGCTCCTGAAAAATTTATTCAGCTATACTTGCTGCAGGCTTTTGGTGCACATTTCAAGCATGCATTTTGTTGTCATGCACATTTGCTAAGTTGAGGCGTGGGTTTCAATTGATTCTACATTCATTTAGGTCATTTCCCGTCACTGGCATCAGGGCTCTGCCACTACCTATTGGTAATCCAACCAGCCAAGTGATAAAGTGTTGTGGCAGAGAGGATGCCGTGGGATTGATTTTGCTAATGATGTCTCATGCCTTAGTTGCCCCATTCTCCAGGGATGCTCAGGCGAGACGGTCTCGGGGCTGGAGCATGAGATCACAGTTAGGGTGTGGCTGCTCTGTCAGGATGCAGAGGACAAGGCTGTCTTGTGTATGGCTGTGTGTGAGCATTGTTTTTGATTATCAGACCTGCAATAATGAACGTGCTTGGCTAATTTGGAAAAATTGGAAGTGTTACAGAGGAGGAAATTATAATATAAATTATTAGAGAAGTTGATTTTGCAGCAGAGTTCAGTGCAGAACAAATGACCGATATCTTTTGGAGGTGCAGGAGAGGTGTTATATAAAAACCTGCTTCCTGTAGTTCTGTTATGCGGTTTGACTGCATTGCTGAGGGCTTGACTATTGGCAACAAAGGCCATTTAAAAATCTATTCAGACTTGACCAGAAGTGGTGGTAATGATGTTTTTACAGCCTGTAGCCACATCTCATGTTCATGCACACAATGCAGCATTAGATTAGCTCTGTGTTTGTACAACTAATTCCTTGAATGAAAGAAAAAATGTCCATAGTTGCACTTACATACCAGAGACTCTGATTGTACAAGTGGAATTGTGCTGAAAACAATGTTTGTGAGAGAGCTGGGGGCATACGATGCAGTTGCTAATAAACCCTGACATTTATGTGACTGGCACAGCTTTATAACCAAGTGCCTTAAATACATCTGCTTTCTTTTAGTTTTCCCTAATTGTTTTGTCGTTTGTTTTTCAACCTCTCCTAAAGTTCTTCTGTATGTTCATTTGGTGCATTTTGTCAACTTGCATTGCTTGGGTCTTTTAATACACAGAAAAAAAAGAGTTAAGTCAAATACCATGCCAACACTGCAACAAAACATACATAGGAGGAGAAATCTGATGCCAACTCAACACACGAACAATAGAACATAGGAAAGAGTGTGAGAAGGAAGCAAATCGAAGACACACAAGTGCAGCGAAACAAGAAGCAGAAAGTACAATGAAGAAATCAGCCGTAACGGACCACTGCACAAAGAAAAAACATATAATGGACTGGGACAGAACAAGGATCGTAAACAAAGAACCGCAAAAATATAAAAGATGGATTAAAGAAGCAATAGAAATAAGGAGACGTGGCCATGGAACCATGAACAGAGACTACACGTTAGATCACTCATCGAAACATTTCAATTGGCTTCCAGATGTCTGTGCCTGAGACTTTAACCGATATATGATATACCCATTTACTCTAACTCTTAAATTTTGATACTTCTTTAAACTGATACAAATTTAAGCGACCCTGATTTCTTTATTTTTTATCAGTTTTTAAAAATAATTTCAGCCAATGGCCGATATAGAAAAAATTGAATATAGCGGTCAGCCTCTACAGTATGTAACACCTCAGATTTCTTGTGAAGCATAAACTTTGCCTTGTGACTTGTGAGAAAATGAGAATCCTTGCAAACATTTCAGCAGTTTGGAAACTCATTCTCAAAGGCCATTTGCAGTTAGTTGCCAGCAGTTGCATCTCAGTGAGATGTTGATTTAAACTCCGTTATTTAATTTGACCTGAAAGGACTGAAAGAACTTTTTATTTGGCAGATGGGTTTCTGATTCAACTGGACCAGGCTAAGTAACTAAAAAGATCTAATCCCACCCAAACCAGAATTTAGCGCTTGTTCAGTTTAGAAACAAAGTCTGGCTGTTTGTGCTGTGGTGTTGTATATCTGCTCAATGTTGTCGTTATTACACAACGATCAGATTTAATAGAGATATTCCAAGGTCAAAGACTTCTGAGGATGCAAATTAGAAATGGAGTGTAAATTTGCTCACTTGCTTTTTCTCGACATCTAGCTCTTAATCAGCTGTTCCATCCCCAGGGCCTGTCACCGGTAAGCCAACACATTAATTCAATTCAATTCAAAATTCAATTCAAAGATACTTTATTAATCCCAGTGGGAAATTAGAGTTTCAGTACACACAATTCTGAGATCAGACATACATAGGCAAAGACACATGACAAGAATTGGTGACTGTGGTCATTCGCAACCCGAGTTGTGCTACCGTAATAGAGATCAGAGGGGTTTACATGAGGATTCGGTCAGGTGGAGGGAAAAAAGGCACTTCAGAGTTACCCTCCACAGGGAGGGCAGCTTTGCTATGCAAAAAACACCTCAGACAGAAATGCAACAGACTTCAGAAATAACACAACATAAGTGTCCACTAGGTGGGGTGGTAGGGTTTGGGACTCTCCACACGTCAGTGAATGCAGCTGTGATACGCAGCGCTCGTCACCTCAGTCTGGACAGGTTAGGGAGGTTGTTGGGGTTTGGAGGGCACAGTGACTCCTGGGACAATCCGGCGGCCTTTACAGCTCGCAGTCCTGCCCAGGCTGGGATAGGGAGACAGAGTTGCCATGGCGATGGCAGCATTCCACATTTCTTCTGAGGGGGGTATTCGTTTCAGCTTTGCAGGCTCAAAGGCACCAGATTCAGATAAGAAATTGTTTTGGGGCCAGACAGAGATAATTTCTTCTATGTCTTAAAGTTCCGTTGGTCCTCAACCTCTCTCATAATCCAATAATGGCGTAATTAATCTATCCCAATCAGTGCTGATTCGTCCACTGGCTCCTTGACGGCATCCATCTTTTGTGCCAATGCATGAGTCTCAGCCAAAGTTCCAAGCTTACGACTCATCTAGACAATTATGAGTCTGTGCATTCACAGGGTGGTGTAATCCATCCCTGAGCTCCGGGAAAGAGGCAATATTCCTCGACAGCTCGTTAATTTTCCTGTAAGCCAGGTAACCTCCCAGGCCAAAAAGCAGGAAACCTGACACCAACACCACGAATATCCATACGTCTTCAGAATCTTCTGCAGACAGTTGAGATAAGCAGATCATGTTCCACTGTTTCCAGGAGTCCATGATATGCCCAACTGGATATGTCCCAGAGGGGCACCCGGGAGCTCCTTCTCCCGTTCTCATCGTTGAGAAAATTTTGTCAATCACGTTGAGAGACCAGCTGAGTAAAGAGAGATTAGTGCTTTAGCTGGCTAATCAGTTGTTTCTGATGCATTGTGCAGCTGCATTTCTTTAGCCGGTTTAGCCTCAGCGTTTTATCAAAACATGTAATAAATGAGCAGTTTAAAATATACAAAGGACTAGGGCTGGGCGATATGGCCTAAAATCAATATCACGATATGTTGAGGATTTCACCTCGATAACGATACACGATAACTACAGGTATGCGCAGAAACAAAAGTTGTCCACTAGATGGGGCTGTCACGTGTTACGTTGAGTCATATTTTACGTGACTCAACGTTGTACAGCTTCTTAAAGGGACATGAATGTTGCCAACCTGCACACAGCTTTTCATTTTTTATTATCATATTTATTGACATGGGAAAAATTATCTCGATAAGAGTCAGGAATTGCGACAGCGATGCATTTTTTATGTATTGCCCAACCCTACAAAGACTGTGTCCTAACCTGTGTCAAACAGACAAATGAAGAGCAAAAGCAAGAACAAAATTTTTAAAAATTACATTTAAAGACTTCCTATTGATGTTGGATTCATTCAGCCAAAAAGTTGCTTTTCAAAACAATGTTGCTTACATGTATTAGTTTTTGTCACAACATTCCTTTTTCATTTAGCTGTAAGTACACTCTGGATTGCCTTGCTGCTCTTTGTTGTGTTTAAGTTCTTCGTCTTCGTCTTCCTCCGCTTATCCGGGTCCGGGTCGCGGGGGCAGCATCCCAAGTAGGGAGCTCCAGGCCGTCCTCTCCCCGGCCTTGTCCACCAGCTCCTCCGGCAGGACCCCAAGGCGTTCCCGGACCAGATTGGAGATGTAACCTCTCCAACGTGTCCTGGGTCGACCCGGGGGCCTTCTGCCGGCAGGACATGCCCGAAACACCTCCCCGGGGAGGCGTCCAGGAGGCATCCTGACCAGATGCCCAAACCACCTCAACTGGCTCCTTTCGATCCGGAGGAGCAGCGGTTCTACTCCGAGTCCCTCCCGAATGTCCGAGCTCCTCACCC